CAGTGCTGCGTCCTAACCCATAGTGCCTCCAGAGAGGGCCCAGTCACACCTTTTTTGGGCCAGGCACCTGAGAAGAACTTTCCCCATATTGCTCCATCTAGGCCCCAGAGGTAGATGGGACAAATTATCAGCCTGGAGACCAGGCCCAGCGGGGGGAAGACACCAGTGGGAAAGTCTCACTCACGCACTGTGCTGAACAGAAGCCCTTCCACCCGGGCCTCAGGCCTTGCGGCCAGGCCTCGCAGTCTGACCTCCCTGTCCCTTTCTCCCTTAGAGAGCCAGCTGCTCCCTGGGAACAACTTCACCAACGAGTGCAACATCCCCGGCAACTTCATGTGCAGCAACGGGCGGTGTATCCCCGGTGCCTGGCAGTGCGACGGACTTCCTGACTGCTTTGACAAGAGCGACGAGAAGGAGTGCCGTGAGTGACGGGTCTCAACTCGGGGTGCGGGTGTGGGCCGGGTCCTGGTCTGACTCACCCCTGCGGAGTTGGCTGGTGGTGGGCTGGTGGGCTGGGCTTGCATGGATTAAAAATTCAGGGGTTCAGCCACCTGCGGATGTTGGTGGGCCTACTCTAAGGGACTGGGAACATCCGTGACAGTTGATATGATGGTGGGGGTAGGAGAACAAGGCACCAGTTCCCTCAGGAAACCAGGGCTGACTGTAGTTAGGTTTGGGGGCGTCAAAGATTGTGACATGTAGGTTTTTGCCTGTCACCACCTCTCACTCCCATGTTGTTCAAGGGTGAACTATATTCTGCTTCCTTATGCCCTTTTTCTGTCCATACGGCATGGCCTGGGCATTGTCTTCAAGTGGGCAATCCCAGGATGGGCATGGGGGTGTCTTTGTTCCTCTTCACCCTTCTTCGACCTTAAAATCGGCATGAGACTTGAGTTAGGAGCAAACGATGATCTAGGAACAAAAGGAGGCATGTGGGGTGCGTGGGCGACATCCAGGGCAGCAAGTGGTAATACTTCTTGCTCCATGGAGTACAGTTCCCTGTGCTCCCTGGAACGTAGCACCACAGACTGAGCTTGGCCACGACCCTCTGGCAGGGGGACGCACACCTGAGCAGTGCCGGGCCCAAGCCTCCAGTGGGTCACTGCTCCAGGACCACGTGACTGGGCCGTGGTTCTTGGCTCCTCTGAGGGTGCCGGGCACCGGGCCGGGGGGCCTCTGTGACAGGAGAACTGTGCATTCTGACTTTTCATCTTCTGGGCACCAACTGAGGAAATGAGTGAGGTGAGGATGATAATTTGAACTTTTAACACCGCTGTTACGGGAATTTGAGGCCCAGTTTGCTGACTCACGGGAAGGCGCACTGGGTTTGGGGCCAGACGCCTCCCTCGTGGAAAGCGGTCTGTTCCCAGAGGGCCCCACCCTGTTGAAGGGGTCCAGTGTCCTTGCTGCCTGCCCTTCCCTTTGGAGAAGTTTTGGGGGGAGGGGTAGATTGAGAATTTGCCTTTTGGGAAGGGGGGTTCTGTTACTTTGTTGGATGCGATTCTTTTAATAGACCATACACATTATGCATTATTATTTTTGCAGAGTCAAAAGAAATATGTGACTTGCCTTTTCTGGCTTCAGAATTGTCCTGCTGTTGTCATTTAACATACTGAAATTTAATGTTCCTAATTTGAATTTCAGATGAGATTATGTGTGAACTCTCTAGTCTGTCCAGTTTTGAGCCTTATTAAACATGCTGCAAATATGTGGATGGCCTTTTTCAGAATATGGTGTGTATTTGAACTCTAGTCAATGCAGATTGGCTTTAGCTGAGCTGGGACTGTTCAGCACAGGATAAGTTTGTGAAAAAATGCAGGGTTGGGACTGAAGAGTGCACTTTTATTCCCAGCTTTGTGAAGAGCAGCTGTGTGTTATTGGTATATTCTGTGACAGCCTGTGTCCTCTTTTGATCTTACAGAATTCATGTGCAAGCTAGAAAGGTTGTGGAGAGTATGTAATAATAATAATAGTAACATCAACAACAACAATAATAAAAATAACAACAACAATAAAGGTGGTGGGGACAGCTGCTTGGAGCTGTTTGGTTTGGTTTGGAACTAGCTCACCCTGGCTAGTCTCCATTTTTCCCTCTTCATTTCCTGCCTTTAACCCCCAAGTGTAATGGAACAGTCGTTAGCATCGGCTTAATCTCTTGATCAAAACACAATTTAAAAAACCATATAGATGCATGAAGAAGCCCAGTTCACCGTTGCCCTTCTTTTTATGGTGTTTCGATTACAAAAAGAAGAATTCTGGAAGATGTAGACAATATAAAGAGAAGGAAAAGAAGTTCCTTTTGTGAAACATAATCCTACTTTCACTTTAAATTTCCAGAAGACTTGAGCACATAAGCTCTGGAGAAAGACGGTGTCCAAATCCTACCTCTTTCCCCCCAGCATTCACGTTAAGGAGGTTTCCAGAAGGTCCCAAACCCTTAGCACTAGGAGCACTGAATAGCCATTCTTAAACTTCCTCATGCCTGGTGTCCCTCCCCCCTCCTAGCCAAAATAAGGATAATAAAGCTTCTCCTGCCTCACACTGTCAACTTTAGCCTGTCTAAAGTCCACCGTATAGGGCTGTGTATAGTAAGTGATGCAGAACCCCCAGCTGTTACTGACCCCTGCAGGAATGATGGTTCAGGCTTCTTCACGGTCCGTGTGATTGGGTAGCCTGCTCTTTCCTTCCTCACATGGCGGCTGCTGGTCACATCACCGTATTTCGTATTCGTCATTGCTGTCTAGTGAGACGGCCTGTTGTTCCATGAAGTGCATGTACGGTGACTTAGCCATGTGCCTTGTGTTGGGGGTTTGAGCCTCTTTGGCTGTCTCCCCTCGTCTAAACAGCATGGCTATGCCAGTTAAGAGAGGGGCCCCATTGGGAAGACAGAGCCCTGTTGGGTGGGACTGAAGGTCGAGGGTACCAGCCCCACCAACTTTCCAGGAGCATACAAGGGGGTCTGTTAGGAGTCTGTGCTACCTCCTTCGAGGGAGGAAAACAGCCCCTGTGTTTTGCTGGGAAGCAGAAAAGCCCTTTCTTTGATTCTGCAGAACACCTTGCTATCTGGGCAGAGGAGAAGCAAAGGGACCCACGTTCTCACCTGCGAGAGGTGATGGCCTCAAGTGCACTGTGAATAGCACTGGCCTTTGGAAGATAATACACTAGGAGAAAAGTGAATTTTGCCCTTTGCACCAGGGAGAAAGAGCCAGGAGAGGTCAAGGGGGAATATAAGCTTGTGAGCAGCTAGTCAGTATCCACAGTGCAGGAAAGGTTTTCAGGAGCCAGGAAGAAAGCTTTTTAATCTTAAAAGTAATAAAATCACATATCATAAAAATGGGGAAACAGGGAGGAAAGAAGTCAGAAAATCACATGTAGAATCCACACTCTCTCAGGACCACCCTGAGCCTTCTAGAAGTGTTCTCTTTAGGCGTTGCCTGGCTGTACTCATCACAGGTGGACGATTTCACTTATGTGTATATTTTAACAGGTAACGTTTCAACATTTGTCCGTGTTTTTTCCGATTTCTTTTTATAACTTTTCATGCTTAGGTAAATAGTCCATTCACTTGGCATACTAGAGTGTATTTACTTACAATTTGGCATTTGCATCTGTTTCCAGATTTTTGCTGTTTGAAATAGAATCTGCTGTTGGGAATGTAGCATGGACATGACTTTCCCCTGTTCTGAGATACTGTCTTGGGCTGCATTCTGGGAAATGAAAGTACTGGGCCAGAGGGCTGGAGCCTGTCTTTCCTGGTTTGCTGTATAGACTTGCCACATGTGACCCTCCCTGGTGGCACAGTGGGTTAGAGCACAGCACAGCGATGCTAGCCACAGCCGCTTCCATTTCAGTTTGATTCCCAGCGGGAGCTGACCCACATGGCGCGGCAGACCTCTCCTGACCCGCCCGCTGCTCCCCTCAGCAGTGCACTTCATCAATCTGCCTGTTCTGCTCCTCACTCTGTCTTTGGTGAATCCCTCACCGCCCCTGCACCTCTGGCCTGTACCCCAGTTCTGTGTGCATAAATCAATAAAAAATCTTAAAAAAAAAAAAAAAAAAGACTTGCCACATGTTCTGCTAAAGGTGTGCCCCGACTTGCTTTCTCACTGGCCACATGGGAAGCTTTATTGTAGTCTTGGTAGCTTTGGGTAATATCTTAGAACAAAGCTTTTGCTGATGAATAGTTGAGCATGGTAACATATTTTAATTTCTGTTTTTAAAAATTACCTAGTAAATTGGAGTGTTCTCCCCATGTATTAGAGGTACGTCTGACTTTACAAAATCACTGTAAACATACTAGAATAAATTCCAACTGGAATGAGTCAGTAAATCTCCTGCCAGGTGGACCTCAAGATCCTCTTCCTTAGGGTTTTAAGAGAGGAAGCTCATTTGAGGATAATCTGAGTACATTTCTGCTCTTCGGTAGTGGGCTGCCCTAAATGATCATTTTCACCTTTTTTGGGGGGGTAATAAAACAGAAATAGAAAAATGTGGACCCTCCACCAAGGCTGGCCATGGTGAGGGCAGTGGTGTGACCCTGTGGGCTGCACCTGACCAGGTGTTTTCCATCTTATTCACTTAGAGGCTGGTCCCTAACCTCGGGAGGAGGCACCGTGGTGTGCCCGTGTGGAGAGTGAGCCAGAGAGCGTGGCCAGAGCCTGCCCACTGTCCCGGAGGACAGACCCCATAACTGCCCATCAGAAACCACTGCTGGGCCCTTCCGGCTCTCTCCACGTGTTTGTGTTACTTTGCGGAATGGGCTCATGCTGTAGTCACCACTAACCTGCTTAAAAAGGAAATAAAAGCGGCTGTCATGGTTTTCGACATCAATGACTTCTAAAATGGCTTTTAGTCCTGTGTGTCTCTGAAAAGTTTTCCTCTAAGAGACAGCAGTTCAATTACTGCCACTTGCTGTAAAAAAAGAAACTGGCAGTCTAGATTTCCGATCCTACCAGTGACCTGGAATCACAGCTTTCAGATTTTGTTCCAGCCTGGCGTCAGATTTTAGCAGCTGTCTCTGTGTGTCCTATTCAAATCTGGGGAGATGGTGCATGTTTGCAAGACCTGTCAAGGTGGCTCATTGTCTTCTTTGAAAAATGATATTATGGATCAATATCTTTGACCAGACATGTGTAGAATTTTAAAGTTGTTGAGGCCCTTTGTGTGTGTGTGTGTGTCTTAGAGAGGGAGTTGTGAATATGGGGATAGATTCAAGATCTTGTCAAATCATACATTTTAATGAATCTCTACATCCAGAGACAGAAAAGTAGTTGCAAAATGGGATTTTGAATGTTATTTGCTTTCACTGAACCCATCAACTTCTTGAGCACACCTTCTAATTGCTCTAGTGTGATGGCAGAAATCTGTAAGCTAAGGTTAAGAGGACAGGTTTGAAATGATGATCACCTAAAAAGGGAGAAG